GTCTGCTTCATTAATCTGGTAAGAAGTAGGTTGTGCCTATCAGAGTTTATTCTGGCTCTTGCTCCTAATATGGCTTCTTCCCAAGCAGGTTCTCCAACTTCTCTGTGCGACCATGAGAACTGAGATAATTGAACCTCTTTGCTGCCCAGAAATTATGGCAAGTCTGAGTTTTGTGGAGGAAAGCATCTGATTATTTTAGCAAGGTAGGGTTTTAGATAATCTTTCAATTACAGGTAGTTCTCATTTAGCAACTGCCTCATAAAACTACTGTTCACAGTTATGACGGTGATGAAAAAGTAACTTTACTACTAATCCTCGTGTTTACTACTTTGCATGTCTGTAAAGCAAAGGAAAGCTGAAGTAAGATCGTAAACACAGTCAGTTTCATTTAGTGACTGCTTCATTTAATGACCAAGTTGCCGGTCCCAATTGTGGTCACTAAACGAGGACTACCTGTATGTTTATGTCAATAGCTAATCTTGTGCCATAGTGTAGATATAAACTGTTGTCAAAGTGGACAGGGATATAACCAGACTTACAAGCATATAAATATGTTCCCTTAGGCATGAAAGCTGGCTGGGTGAGTTTGGGCCAGTCACTCTCTCTCAGACCAACCCACTTTACAGGATTGTTGCTGTGGGGAGAATAGGAGACAGGAGTATTAGATATGTTTGCTGCTTTGAGTTGTATGTATTAAAAGGTGGGATAAAAATCTAATAGTAGTAGTAGTAATTTACTGGCAGGTTTGTGAGCAACTCTCAGGTAAACAGTTGTGGTGCTTCTCTGGATGAGGAACTTTTGTCCCTTCCTGAGGTTGCTTGATAAGGAAAAGAAACCAGATATTGGTGGTGGTGGTTGTTTTTATGGCTCTGCTCTACAGCACTTGCTTTGATGTTGGTTTCTTCAACAGTGTTTGTTGACTTCCTCTTTTATAGGATCACATGCCACATAACTGATTAACAATAGTTAATGTTACATTTCTGTTTCTCACTGAATAGGTCAGTTGTTTAAAAAAAGGGAAGATAGCATTAGAACTGATGGAATGGCATAAACTTTGAAGAAAACCAGTTCTTGTGATTTGTGTATGTCCAGTTATTATCTTGAATTATTCCTCATCCCTCCTTTATATTTTTCTTTTTATCTATAGGAGAATTAATGATGGAAGTTGATCTAAGAAAAGCTGACATGAAATAATGCATTTTTGAAATACCTTTTGCTGAAAATACGCAGCCTTCTGTTTCAATAATGTTTTGGAAGATATGTTTATTTTACTTTATTTTATTTCTATACCACAACAAGTTGGTAGGGAAATATTCTAAAGTGCTTTCAATTACCCCCAAAAACTGACCTTTCCCCCTTTATGACCATCTATAAAGTCTTTTCCTTACATCTGGACCTAATTAACTTTAGCAGCTAGAGTTGAGGTGCCTGTCACTATAGACTTGACACTGGGATTTTTTTTAATCTGCAGGTGCTTTTTCTGTTGTGCGTTTGCTTGTTTCTAATGCCTTATGATATACATTATCTGTATTTGCTTCACATATTATGATTGTCAACTAAATGTAGATTTGAAAGATCTGATTATATTTTAAGTGCATTTATTCTTGCCAAAATCTCTAGAGACCCTCAAGAGAATTTTTGTTTTCACAAGACATGATGCTCTGATATTAAAAAAATATTCATCAAAACCTTTTTAACCCTCACACTTAGAACATTTAGCTAATCTTAGATATTTTTATATATATACACACACACACACACACACACT